AGGTTCCTGGAAGCCAGCCTCATGCTGGGGACCTGGAAGCCAGGGAGCTGCTTAGGAACCCAGAGTGTGCCAAACTTGAAGGAGCAACCCCATCTCGCAAGTCAAGCCTGGAGATCAGGCATTGGGCAGGAATTCTAATAGCCTCTCCCTTTCTCCAACCACGTTCCAGTTCGCAGAGCACTCTCCTGTCCTTTCTTAGACTTGGTCCCCTTAGCCCTCTGGAAGAGGGGTGGTGGTGGCAGGAAGTGTCCTCACTTCGTGTCCCATTTCACACAGGAACCCAGAAGTGACAGCCTGTCACACAGCTAGCAGATGATGGAGTCAGGATTCCAACGCAGGCCTTCTGGCTTTCTGTCCATGCTCTATCTGTAAAATCCTAGCTGTGTAAGGGCCACCCAGAGACAAAAGCAAACCCTAGTTCACACCCCCCACCCCCGCTCCAGGGCAGGAAGTGGTTTTTGAGGACAGATGCAGAGCCCAGCATCTGTGGTGGATGTCATGAGTCATCTCAGGGTGAGAGCTGCAGGTTGACTCTGAGGTCAGCAGACCTGCTCCACATTTAGTAGCTGTGTGACATTGGGCAAGTCACTTCCAGCAGCTCACTGCCACCCCCTACCCCAGCAGCAGGGCGGGGCCCAGGAGATGCTCTGGGAGTCCCACCTGCCACCCTTCCCGGCCTCTTCTGAGCCCTGGATTGGACTGGGGGCAGAATTTGATTAGCTCCTAAACAGCAGCTTCATGTAGAGGGCCTGGCTCATTTCCTGTGTGCTTCTAGCTGGCAAGACATGGACAGAATTAATACTGGGCCAGCCAAGCCAGAGAAGTGCAGACTCCCCACAGGAAGGGGACCGCTGCTCAGAACACTCTGGACCCAAGGCCCTGGGCCAGCAGGCGGATCTCTCTGGGGCCCTGTGGCTGGATTCTTATCACCCCAACCTGTTGCAAAGCAGTCTAACTGGGTGTTGCCTGTTAGCTCCCTGTACCTCCTCTGTCAGAACATTCGCCGCAGGCCTTACTACCAATTGTCCAGCCTCTGTTTTTTTCCTGCTCAACGGAGGGCAGTTATTGTGTGTGACTTGTCCCCTTCTGTCCTTTCAGGGGCTCCTTCAGTGCCTGAGCGCACCGTTGCATGTTAGGACGCATGCGTGTCCCTGCAGTCCTCCCCCCACCGCCACCCCCTGCTCACACTGCCCAGAGCAGTTTTGACAGAGCAGGGCTCTGCATGGATCACTCTGTTCCTCATAGGACAATCCCACGCCTGGCATCCCTTGTGACATACTCTCGTCTTTATCTCTTTTCCTGTCCTAATTCCTTCACTGGCCACCCCTCCCCCCAGATTTCTGAGGTTTCCTGTATTTGCTCCAGAAGCCCCCTCCCCCCCAAGGCACTCCCAACCCCAGCTCGCCCAGGAACACTGGCCTGACCAAACCCGTGTGGGCACTCACACGAGCCCGATCCTGGAGCACAGGGAAGAACCAAAGAGCTCCGGCTGGTCCTCCTTTGCCAGTACCTGCCCTGTGTGTATGGGGCCCAGGTGAGGGGCCTCCGGCAGTGCTCAGCCTCCCCCCACCCCCACCTTCCCTCTAGACTCCTGGGTCCACCATATTGTGTGGAAGGGCCCAATGAAGCCAGGAGGTACCCTTGGCCAGGAGACTTGAGGGCTGATTCTACATCAGCCTCCAGTTTCTTAGGTAACTCCCTTAGCTTCCGGGACCTCAGTTTCCCCATCTGTGAAATAAGACTGGACTAATGATAGCCACCATGTTACCAAACGCGTCGCCTGGGCCAGGCCCTGTGGGGAGCACTGAGAATGGTCCCCGTGAGTCCCTGGTGTGATAGGATGGCCCTGTTCCAGGTGAGGGGACAGGGACTGAGAGGTTGGGAGGCTGGCCAGAGTCACACAGCTGGAAAGCAACACCGCTGACATCTGAACACTGATCCCTGGGCCCTCTCAGAGCCCTTGGGTCCTGGGTGGTTTCTCGGCTGCCCCGGGGCGGGGGCCCTCCGGGGATGGTGGCACTTCCCCTCCTGGCTTTGTTTGGTTTGGCCTCAGTTTGGGGCAGGATTGGCAGAGGCAGGCTGACTTGCATTTCTGGTTTTGGGTCTGTGGCTGCACTTTTCCCGAGGAGGGTAGGCGGGCTCAGGCTCAGTCAGTGCTGGGACAGGCCCGGCCCCACCCCCACCCCCCAGGAAAGGGGAAATGTGGCCTGCTCCCCGCTCAGGGCCACTCCGTGCCAGGCCCCGAAGGCACCGGTTGCTGCTTCCTTCCATCTGTCCTTCCAGGTCGGGGGGTCTGGCCAAGGGGGCGGGTGATTGAATGTGGGGCACCAGGGAGCTGGCTGTTTGTTTTCCTCGAGGAGCATGCTCCCTGGTGGGTGGGGGGAGGGGCGGAGGACTAGGCTGCTCTGGAATGAGATCAGAAGCAGGCCTGGGAAGAAGGAGCCAGAGGCCCTGCTCTCACCCCAGCCGAGCCCCGATTGGTGCTGGTGCTTTGGGGCATGTCTGTAGGTCACTGTCCAGGCTGGGCCTCAGCCTTGCTGTCTGTCCATCAGCAGGGGAGCTCTCTCTCTCCCTGGGAGCAGTCTGATGGGGCTAGAGCACAGACCTTGGTTTCTAGATGAGATTTCTGGAGAGGCCCGCCGTCACAATCACCAGCTTTGATTCTGGGTATTTGGCCAGAGCTTGCTTCCAGGGGTCCGTGGGAAGGATGGGCCACGGTTTGGGGTCTGTGACTTCAGCTCTTCCCTCTAGACCCATTGTTCCAGTCACTACAACTGCTACCACCACCAGCATCCTGTTCAAGAGTTTTATACTTTCGGGGCGCCTGGCTGGCTCAGTCAGGAGAATGTGCGCTTCTTGATCGTGAGTTCAAGCCCCGCCTTGGGCATAGAGCCTACTTAAAAAAGAAAAGAGCTTTATCCTTTCTATGTTTATTCTCCTGGCTTGTCACTTGTGTGTGTGGGTTATTTCATTCAATGGGTGGGGACCTTGAGACCCAGGGGGTTTAGCGACTGGCTTTCCCTGGCCCTGCTGTGTGATATGCCCTTGGCTCCTGACCCTCTCTGGGCCTCAGCCTCCCCCTCTGTGCACTGGGGATTTGGGATCAAGGATGTGTCAGGAGGGCGCCTGGGTGGCTCAGTTGGTTAAGTGACTGCCTTCAGCTCAGGTCATGATCCCAGGGTCCTGGGATCGAGCCCCGCATCGGGCTCCCTGCTCCGCGGGAAGCCTGCTTCTCCCTCTCCCACTCCCCCTGCTTGTGTTCCCTCTCTCGCTGTGTCTCTCTCTGTCAAATAAATAAATAAAATCTTTAAAAAAAAAAAAAAAAGGATGTGTCAGGGCCTGAGGCTGAGGTGTGAGGGGTCTCTGGGTAGAGTCATTTCCCAGCTGCAGGTACGATTTATAGGGCAGGGAATCCCTGTGAGTGGACACCTGTCTTCAGCTGTGCCTGAGAACCGAACCCTGGCCAGATCATCCTAGAGTCCTCTAAGGCCCACTCCGCTGCCTTGCTCAGTCATCTTCTCCATCGGGGGGGGGGCTCCCCTTTCACTTTCATGCTCCCGGCCTGTGGCCCTTACCCACACTGTGCTTTCATATCCGCTCTGGTGCCCCCAGATGCCAGTGGGACCCCTGCCACGTGTGGGCAGCACTCTGTGGCTGCCTTGAGCCACGGCTGGGCCACAGGCTGGGGCGTCACTGTCACGGCCTCCCCAGGCTTGAAAAGACTTCTTAGCTTTGGGCACAGCCTCTCAGTCCTGGGCAGCTGTGCGGTAGTGGAAAAGTCACTGCTCTTTGTGCTCAGCATGGTCATCCATCAAATGGATGTTATAATGGTCTCTACAACGAGAGCTCTTAACCTATGTTCTGGGAGCACTTACCTCTCCGGATCTCAGCCAGTGTCCGCGTGTGTGCACGGCCAGTGGACGCGCACATTCCTGTATATCTGTAGAGTCCCCAGGGACGTGTGGCCACTTTCCCCTTCTAGGTGGCCATGGCCTCTTGATGGGTGAAACCCAGACCCCAGATAGTTCTCGCGCCAGCATTCCGAGTCCTTGGGTGTGATGAGGGGCCCGGCCCAGGCCTGAGACCTGCTTCCCCCCCGTGCGGTTGCAGTCCCGTGGATACTCCTGACCCTTCTCTGAGCCCCAGTCTTCCTGTGAGCAAGCTGGCTTTCAGACTTCATCAAGGGCACTATTTTTTTCCCTTTGCAAATGAAATCTGTAGGAATCCAGCAAAAATGCCGAGGGTTTGAGGGTTGTGTGTCAGGCAGGAAAAGCTTTCTTTTTCTGTGTGGAGCTCCTGAGGTTCCTCCAAACACAGTTTAAAAACCACTGGGTGGATGATCCCTCAGGGAGGTCCCCATGTGCCCGTGACATCTGTGTCGTCCAAGGGTGGGCAATATTTTGAAGTTCTGGTTTCATTCCAGTTTGCTAGTTTCAAAGAGATACTTAAATATTCAGAGCAAGTTCTTGTTTGAATGGGATTTTTTTAAAACTTTGGTTCAGGTAGAAGATACCCTTTGGCCAGGTCCAAGGTTCTATCACTTTGTGATTGCTCTGGCTTGGGACTTGGCTTGGTTCTGGTCCATGAAGGAGGAGCCTGCGTGGCCCCTCCTTTACTCGGAGACACCATGACACTTCCCTCAGAGGGCCGTCAGGAAGATCGCCCAAGAGGAGTGTTTAATCTGGCACGGCCCCGGCCGGCAATAGGATCCAGATAATGGCGGTTACCCCTCCTTCCTCCCCTAAATGACCAGCCACGCTTTTGATGGAGCAAACAGAAGATTCAAGCAAGAAGACAAGGATGGGAACCCATGTGCAGCGAAGCCAAAGGGGCTTTCTGTTTCCAATTCTCACTTTAGCTTTCAGACTGCGGGCTGTCAGGTGTGCGGTTCTGGCCATTGCCTGATTTATTTCAGTCTCTGTGAGGTTGGCTCGTGTACATTGCCTGGCATCTCAGAGCTTTCTGTTCTGAACCTTTCTTGTTTGCTTCTTGTTTCCCAGATGTTTGAGCCAGAGGCAGATGAGAAGCGAGAGATGCCCTTGGAGGAAGGGAAGGGGCTGGGTGCTGAGGACCCCCCACCCAGCAAGGACCCCTCTCCAGGCCAGGAGCCTCCTTCAGGACAAGACTTGTCACCCAACAAGGACCCCTCTCCTGGCCAGGAAGCTTCTCCTGGCCAAGAGTCACCGTCCAGCAAAGACTCACCTTCCTGCAAGGAACCTCCTCCAGGCCCAGAGCCCCAGCCAAACAAGGACTCCCCACCATGCCAGGAACCCCCTGCAGCCCCGGCCCTCCCTCCCTGCCAGGAACTTCCTCCTAGGCAAGAGCCCCCTCCCAGCCAAGACCTCCCTGTCATCCAGGACACCCCTGCTCAGGAGCTTGCACCCTGTCAAGACCTGCCCCCCGGCCAGGTCCCCCAGCCAGCTAAGGAGACTGCAAGCTCTGGGGACCCCCCAGCAGCCACCAGGGACCCGCCTGTGGCCTCCAGGCCAACCTTTGTGATCCCCGAGGTCCGGCTGGACAGTGCTTACAGCCAGAAGGCCGGGGCAGAGGGGGGCAGCCTGGCCGATGAGGAGGACGAGGAAGAGGCTGAGGAGGGCGAGGAGGGAGAGGAAGAAGAGGAGGAGGACACGAGTGATGACAACTATGGAGAGCGCCGTGAGGCCAAGCGCAGCAGCATGATCGAGGCGGGCCAGGCTGAGGGCGGCCTCTCCCTGCGGGTGCAGAACTCCCTGCGGCGGCGGACACACAGCGAGGGAAGCCTGCTGCAGGAAGCCCGCGGGCCCTGCTTTGCCTCCGACACCACCTTGCACTGCTCGGATGGGGAGGGCACCACGTCCGCCTGGGCCATGCCTTCGCCCCGCACCCTCAAGAAGGAACTGGGCCGCAACGGTGGCTCCATGCACCACCTTTCCCTCTTTTTCACGGGACACAGGAAGGTAAGAAGGCTGAGGGTGGGTGGGAGTGGGTAATAAACGGGGTGGTACGGAGCGGGGAGGTGGGTCCAGGAGCTGCAGGGGACGAGCAACGCAGTCCCACCCCTCTCCTCTCTAAGCCTTCCAGGGAGCCTTCTACCCATTTGACAGAGGATACAGCTGAGGCACGGAGGGACTGAGAAGGCCACGCCTGCACTTAAGGCCGTGACTCTGACTCCAGATGCTGTGTTCTTACAGCTCCTTTGGACTGGGGGTCCCCACCGAAGTAGAGCAGGTGTGGCCTCCCCCAGGACATCGTGCGTTTGGATCCAGAAGGTCTGAGACATTCGCTAGAGGACTGTCTCCTGTAGTAGAACAATTGAGGCTCGGTCCAGGCCTAGCCAGACTAGAAATCCATCAGCCAGCAACGATAGCACACATCTACCCTGTGTTGGCATTATGCTATGCAATTTATTTTTTGTTGTTTTTTTATTTTTTGAGAGAGAGAGAGAGAGTGAGTGCACGACTGGGGGGCAGGGGCAGAGGGAGAGGGAAAGAGAGAATCTTAAGCAGACTCCACGCCCAGCACAGAGCCCCAAGCAGGGCTCGATCTCATGAGATCATGACCTGAGCCAAAACCGAGAGTTTGATGCTTAACCGACTGAGCCCTCAGGCGCCCCAGTTCTAAGCAATGTAGCTGACTGCACCAGTGCTCATGACAGCCTCATGAAGGAGATGCTGTTGAAGCTCCCTCCAGAGGAGGAGACCGAGGCACTCAGGGGTTATCTCACTTACCCCAGGCCACACAGTTTATAAATGTCTGCCCCAGAATTAGATTCTGGCTCCAGGGCTGGAGTGCGTCCCTACCATGCCGCAAATATTTATAAATAGATGAATAAGTGTTTATTGATTTCCTGCCGTGTGCCAGGCCCTGTGCCCTGTGCCAGTGAGGGGCCGCAGGAATGTGCGAGGCTGCTCTCAGCCTGTGAGCAATGAGCTATCTGTGGGGGTGCAGAAGCTGCCCCCGCAGTGAAAAGACTGCATCACGTCCTCGAAGCCCACTAGCCAGCTCGAGCCTGGGCTTGGTCTCTCACTTACTGTGTGGCCTTGGGTGAGCCACTCAGCTCCTCTGAGCCTTAGTGTCCTTCCGTGAAAAGCAGAGACGAATTACACTCATGTCGCCGGGTGGTTGAGGATGAACCCGAAGAGCCTGTTGCCTGGTGACCTTTAGTGCAGGAACCGGTAGATGCTTTTGAGATGCTAGCAGCCAGCGCGGTGCGAGGTGTTGTTATGACAATGTTGTGAGGCCAGGTGCGTGGGGGGGGCGGGGGCAGGGACCTGGGAGTTCATGGAGGAAAGACCTCAGGGCCTTAGGCCATCAGGGAAAAGCTTCTGGAGCAAGATGCCCTTTGGCTTGGCCTTGAGGATTGAGCAGGTTTAGAATGAAGAGAGGATGAGACAGGCATTCTGGGCAGTGTCTGTAGAAGCCAGTTTGGCTAGAGCGGGGGATTTCTAAAATGCAGGGATGGCAGACGCATGGTACTCACGCTGCCCTTCCTGCCTCCACGCCCAGGGCAGACATGACTAATGGATTCCAGCTCATTTCCCCACTGAGTTGGGCCATGGCTTTGGAAGCCTTCTTCGCCTCAGGCACTAGTGAGAAGGCTGACTTCACACTTGGGAGGACACTGCTACAACGTGGTTGGACTGGAAGGGCAGGCTGGGACCCCCCCCCCCCCCGCCCCGAAAAGGCCTTAAACTTTGGGCGCCGGAAATTGGAACCAAATCCCAAAGGAACTGGGACTGGACTCCGTTTCCTCATCCACAGACACGTGTGGTTCTAACTTTGATGTGCTCAGAAGGAGGTTATTCATACATAGATTTCTAAGTCTCCAGCCCCAGGCTCCTGGAATCAGAATTTCCAGCATATGGTACCCAGACTCTGCATTTTAGACAAGCCCCCCAGGGGCTGTGCTGTTCCTCGTAGTTGGAATATCACCATCTTTGGCCATTTCTTGATGCAGCTAGAGAGAGTCTAGAACTCTGCCCTACCCGGGTGAGGCCTCAGGCTCACTCAGACCAGGCCTGGCCACTCCTCTCCGGTGGGCACTGAGATCCCCAGGCTCACTACCCTGTTTCCACACCCCCTCCCCAAGACCCTCCCAAGTTCTGTTCTGTATGTAAATACAAATATCTATATACAGATACAGCCACCCACCTACACGCACATCCTTCTAGTCCCCCCCAGCCAGCTGATCCGAGCTCCTATTTTGGGGCAGATACTCCTGCGCAGGAGTCCGGCAGGCCTGGACCAGCTCTTGTCATGCTTCAGCTTCCTCCTTTGGGAGCCCAGGGTTTTCACGGGTATCCCCCACCCTCTCCTGGCCTCTTGTTTCCTTTCTTGGGCTTGAGCGACAGAGTTGGCAGGGGCCTCAGAGGCTGTGCTCCCACAGTTTCCACGGACCCGGCTGCTAGTCCATCATCATGTGTATCCTGCTCACTGCAGCCAGCCAGCTTCGCTAAGAACCCTGCCCTGGAGGTTGAGGCTGGGCAAGCCCCTGGTCCCGCGCCATCCCTCACTGCCAGTGGGCCTGGGGCAAGTCCCTGCCCTTTCTCTGAGCCTCAGTTTCTTCATCAGCGAAACGGGCATGGTAATAATACCTCCTTTGTAGGACTGCGGGGAAGATAAAGTAGCCCAGCGTGGGTGGAGTGTTTCGGGCAGTTGCCGGTACTCAGCACTCGGTGGGTGCTCCATAAATGGGCATCATGTTGATGACGACAAGGAGGAGGAGAGCAGTGGCAAACGTGGTGGCCGTTATGCCAACATTCACAAAGTGCCCCCAGCTCCCTTTCCTGGCCTGCATGACACTGCTGCAGGGTGGGACTCCTTGTCCTCGTCCTCCAGCAGGGAGCCTGAGGCTGAGCGGGAAGTGTTTTGTCCCAGGTCACACAGCGAGCGCTGCTAGAGCCGGGCCGTGGCCTCACCCTGCGCAGTCCTCCCTGGCTCGACTCCAGACCCTGCTCACCTCACCTCAGGCTGGTGAGGGACAGAGTGTGGGGGGCTGGCAGCGGGCAGGGGCGGCGGTGGGTTCCCCCGTGACTTCCATCTTCCTGGCTTGGGCCTGGCATGGGCCTGGCTTTCTTGGGAGGGTCAGCTGCTGCCTCCAGGCCACTGTTTCCAGGCTATGCCAGGCAGGAGCTGAAGAGGAGAGTTCAAATCTCAGCTCTGCCTCCTCCTTCCTGGTCCCGAGACCCTGGCCAAGTTAGGTCTTTCTTTGAGCTTTCGTTTTCTCTTATAAAGTGGGAGTGCTAAGTCTTCCTTGGAGGTATCCCAGGGATTCGAGAAGATTGCACTATGTGGAAATCTCTGCGCCCATGGCAGGGATCCTGTCATGATGTGAAACCCAGGAGGGCCAGACAGAGCTGGTGTGGCCCCGGGGCTGTATGGCTAAGCTGAGGCTGCCCGGAGGGCATGCTGCCTGTCACAGGGGTGACCCTTACTTGTCACCCTTTGCCCTCTTGGGCGCTGAGTGATTTCTTTCTACTGGGAGTAGGAGTATCTGAACCAGACAGATCTGAGAGACGGCCCACTCGTCATGGTCATTTTACAGATGGGCTGCTGGAGGTCCAGAGAGGAGAAGACCTCCCCACCAAGGTTAACCCCCCCCCGGGCCATCCCCTGCGCCTGGCTCCCGGTGCCGAGTTGAGTGGTCTCACAGTGCCCTCTGCTGCCAGACCCCTGCCTTGCTGGCTGCCCCCTGGTGGCCCCGCAGGCAGAACCACGGGCCTGCATCTGCCCTTTTCCTGGGAGCCTGCGAAGCCCTGAGCGAATCTGTGTCTGGGCCCAGGGTTGCTGCCCTTCACTTCCGCCTCAGCCTGGCCTGGCGTGGCCCAGGGTCGTGGTCGTTCTTTGACAGTGAGGAGACAGAGGCTGCGGCCCCTCCCAGGCCATGCTTCCTTCTCCCCCGCCCCCTGCGGGGACTGGCTTGGGCAGAGGCTGTCTGCCACGCCAAGCTTCCCGCCTAGGCAGGAGGTCAGACCAGAGGGCCTCTTAAGATGCCTTCCAGCTCCAAGATGTGGCAGTACTCTCGAGCCTCCTGTTTACAAGGCGCTTAAAGAAAAATTATTTCCTGTGTCCAAACAAATATGTGTAGCGTTCAGATCCAGTGTTTCCACAAGGTTGTATGGGGCCCGCCAGGCTGGGCCAGGTCAGAGGGGGACAGGGTGTGGGACGCTGGCGCCAGCATGTCCGGGTAGCCCCAGAAGTTGGGTCCAGACCAGCGAGAGGAACCAGGTGAAGCCCCTGCTCACAAGAGCCCTCAGTCGTGGGTGGGCTTTGGGGCCAGGCCTGAAATTCGCTGCCACTTGGCAGCTTGTGCCTCAGTTTCCTCCGCTGTGGACTGGGGCAGGTGACAACAAATCGTTCTCAGAAGGGTCGTGAAGATGGAACGAGGTAAAAACATGAAAGCCCTTCACTGCAGACCTGGCACGTAGTGAGTGCTCAGCGAACACTCGCGATAACCCCCACAGCCGGCAGCAGTGGGGCGCTGGGCGTACAGGTACCGAACTAGGCTCTTCCTGTGTGTTCGCTTAGTTAATCCGCACCACGCCCCGATGAGGCAGGTCCGGTCATTATCCCCACTTTACAGCTACAGAGACCGAGGCACCGGGAGAGGTTGTAACTCGGCTAAAGCCAATTAGCTCCTAAGTCACTGAGGTAGGATCCCAATCCAGGCAATTTAGAATCGACACCCTTAACCACAACTATTATTATAGTGATAATTACAGTAAGAATTATAGTTATTATTCCAAGGGGTGGGGAGCTCCCAGTGCCTGGAGTGGCCGGGCGGGCCCCAGGGATTCCTGCCTGGTGGCTCTGGGCCCCCCTCCGTTTCCCTTCCAGCAGGGAGGGCCCTGGGGAGGAGCAAGGCAGTGGGGAGCAGAGGGGAAGGAGAGGCCTTTTGTGTGCTGGGTACCGGGCAGGACCTCCTGAAGAGGGGAGCCTTGGGGGCCACTGTGGGGCTGGGAATCAGAACCCTGACTTTCTGGCTCAGTTTCTTCTCTGTCTAGCCTGCAGCCACCCCCACGTAGTGCCTGGGTGTCCCCAGCTGCTCTGCGGGTCACTGCCCAGGCACTGGGCTATCAGGCCGATTGGTGTGGGTTGGTCCCTGCCAAAGATGACCCCCTCCCAGCAGTGGAAGGAAGAGCCCATTTCCCAGCAGTGCAGAGGCTGAGGGGTGCGGGCGGGGCGGGAGTGGCCCCCAGGCCCATTGTGTGGGCTCGATAAAGTACGGAAGCTGAGGTTAGAATGGGAGGAAGCCCAGCGCCCGTGGCCCTTTCCCACGGGTGGGGGCTCCAGGCACTGCCTAGCCTGGCCAGTGTGACTGCAGCCGGTGTGTGCGACGGGCCCAGCTTGGGGAGCCCGGGGGAGACTCACTGAGCAATGACCCCGGGCAGCCCTGGTTACAGAGGGCCCCAGCGTTGGGCCACAGGGGCTGAGGCTTGATCGTGGTGACTCTTCCAACTGCCAGGGGGCCGTCACCCCACCTGTGCTGTAGCCAACGAAGCTGAAGCTGAGAGGCTAAGAAACTCTGCCAGAGTCAGGACAAATAGGATCAGTACCTGCTTCCCGCAAACCCGAGCTCTGGAATCACACACCGTAGATGGGTGTGTGCCTGTGTATGCACGTATACACGCGTGTTTACAACCCTGGCGGGGCAGTCTTCTCAGGAAGGAGGTGGCACTTCCCCCGAGACTTTTACTGAAAACATTCAGAATGTGCCCCATCCTTACATTTGAATAGCAGCATCCTCTAGTGGAGAAACACGGGCCTTAAATGCACACAGACCTAGATTCCCGCAGTCACTTCAACTCTGGGTATCTTTGGGCAAGTGGCTTAACTTCTCTGAACCTCTGTTTGCTTTATGGACTTACTCTGAAGATTAATGAGATAGTATCTGGATAATGCCCATTCCGGGGTCTGGTCTATAGTATGAATTCATCCATCCGTCCGTCTGTCCGTTCATCCATTCATCCGTCCATCCGTCCATCCATGGGTGTGTATTCCACTGAGGCTAGTAGCTCCCCCTGTTGGCTATATCTGGAATAAGGCCACTTTTCTTTACAGAATTAAGAGCGCTTTAAGAATTGGCCCATCTTTATTTTACAAATGAGGAAATTGAGGCCCAGGGTGGGACTCATGAGGAATTAGAGCTGAGATGCACACTGGGTGGCATTCTGTCTTGTCTTGGGACATAACGTCCATGCCCAGCCTACTCTGAGCTCTAGCTCCTCTCCCATCCTCAGAGCATTTCCTGGGCTCCTGCCCCAGGGTGGCACTGTTGGGGCCTTGGGTTTCTTCTGGAAGAAGATGGACAAGCGCCAGCAGGGCAAGGGAAACAGGACAGCCCTGAGATGGTGGGAATCTGGAGTGGTCTGGAGAAGAGGAGTGGCAGACTGAGGGGGAAGAGGAGAGAGGCATTCCAGGAAGAGGACACAGCACAGGCAAAGGGGAGGGGAGAGAGGGGTGGGAGAGGTGCAGTCTGTGGGCCGCAGTGGAGCGGAGGGGGTGGGGGATACAGCTGCAAGCTGGGATTCAGGCAGTGAGGGCCTCAAGACTCATTGTTTCCAGTCTGCTTTCCCTCTCTTGATGCATTCATTCATTCGACAAATATTTGTTGAGCTCCTAATCGTGAGGTGCTCACCCCGTGAGGGTGACCCAGGCAGACAGAGGCCTCGCTCATGAGAACTCACAGCCAAGGGGTTCCTGGGTGGCTCAGTCGTTAAGCGTCTGCCTTCGGCTCAGGTCGTGGTCCCAGGGTCCTGGGATCGAGCCCCGCATCGGGCTCCCTGCTCCGCGGGAAGCCTGCTTCTCCCTCTCCCACTCCCCCTGCTTGTGTTCCCTCTCTCACTGTGTCTCTGTCAAATAAATAAAGTCTTTAAAAAAAAAAGAAGAAGAACTCACAGCCAAGCAGAGGGGACAGATTTAGAAAAAGCCCTTTTGAATGTGGCGGGAACCTCAAAAGCGGTGAAGGGGGCACAGCCTTGGTCTTGGGGTCTGGGAGTGCTCCCTAGGTGAGGAGGCATTTAAGTGGCTTACCCGAGGTCTGCTCTTTCCTGAGGCTGGGTCTTGGGAGTAAAGGGAGACGGGAGGGTCACAAAAGCATCCCCCGTGGAAGGTGTAGCCCAGGTAAAGGCCTGAGGTGAGGGGGCAGTTCATGCAAAGACATTCCATTTGTCTGGAGGGCAGGGTCAAGGAGGGAGCTGGACCGGAGAGATAACTGAAGGACTGTAACTGATGTTCAAATGCAACTTCCTGCCCAGCTCCTAAGATGGCAGACCCTGTATATCATGTCACAGAGTTTGGATGTTACCCTGGGGGCACTGGGGAGCCATGGAAGGCTTTAAGGCAGGAGAGCTTCTCTCAGGCTTGTGCGACAATTCACTGTCCACCCTGCTGACCAATCCCAGGTCTCTGCCAAACCTCAGAAGCCCGAGTTAGTCATTAGGATCTTGATTTTTTTTTTTCAAAGATTTTATTTATTTATTTGTCAGAGACAGAGAGCGAGCACAAGCAGGGGGAGGGGCAGGCAGAGGCAGAGGGAGGAGCAGGCTCCCTGCTGAACAAGCAGCCCGATGCGGGACTCGATCCCAGGACCCTGGGATCATGACCTGAGCCGAAGGCAGACGCTTCACCGACTGAGCCACTCAGGCATCCCAGGATCTCGATTTTGAAATTAAGAAATCGAGGCTCACCGAGGGACCATGACTGGCAGAATCCCACTGCAGAAGCCCTCCTGTAGCCCTGCTCTCCAGTCTGCTGTCTCTGGTTCTGCCATCAGTGCTGTGTCTTCGGCTTCTCCCTCGCAAACCGGGCTCCTAGTTGCACTGGGAGGAGACCCCTTTGGCTGGAGGATCTGCCAAGCTGGCCACACTTCATGGACAGACTGTTCCCAGTAATGGGCCTCCCTGTCCCTCACCTGAGGGGTAGGAGCTTTGCAGGAGAGGGGTGGGACAGTTTGCAGGCACCGTTGGATCCCTGAGCCTCTCTTTGCTCAGGCAGCAAGCAGCCTTTGGATGCCCCGACTATAACGTGTCTTTCTTCCACAGATGAGTGGGGCTGACACGGCTGGGGATGATGATGAAGCCTCTCGGAAGAGAAAGAGCAAAAACCTGTACGTTGGAAAGATCCCTGGTCCTCAACCTTGCAGTTAGGGAGGCTCCCCAACCCCCTCTTCTTCCTCTGTCCTCGGGCTTGTCTCTCCTCCAGGGGGACAGGTGGGGAGGAGGGGCTGTGGCCAGTCCTGCCCTAGACAGACACCAGCGAACAACAAGATCTTAAGACTTGCTGGTGGCCCCAGTGTGGGGTCGCTAGGGTCCTGAGCGTCCGACACTGCCCTCAGCATTCATGCAGAGTGAGGCAACATGCTGATTCAGTACTGGAAGCCCCAGGGAACCAAGCAGAGGCAACCAGCTGGGTTGTCCTGGCCCGGGCCCAGCCTCTAAGCCAAGCAGTGGCTGAGTGACCTTGACAAGTGCTTTGCTCCCTGAGAAAGGACACGGGATTCCCCCTTTCTCCTCTTGAGCTCTTGAAGACTAGCAGTCTTTGGCGTTGCCAGGAGGTGGCGCTGCTGGTCCAGGTAGCGTGTCCCATACTCCCCAGCCTTTCGGGCCAGGCTCTGGGGCCTTACACATCCGTTTGGAGGTTTGGAGGTGCCAGTTAAATGAACAGGGTGTGTGTGGGTTCCCCTTAGGCTCCTTGTACACCTGGGCCCAAGGACCTGGAGACTAGGGGCGGGATGGAGAGGAGGTGGTGGGGCACACGGTGGCCCCCAGAGGGAGTCCTCCTCCCCTCCAGCTTGTGTAGTGCCCACCATTATTTACCAGTTGGGCCTGGGCGGGGAGGACAGGGTCTTCCCAGATGCCTCCTATAGCCGTTTTCCTGGCCTCTACTTTGGCTAGCGTCCACTACTCTAGAAACTCTTTCTCCCCCAGCTCCTCGGGCCTCTCCAGGTTCCTGTGGCAACTGTAGGCTCCTCTCACTCTGCAGCCAGGAGCAATCCCGCCTTCTAGGGCAGGTAACAGGCATCAAAAATAGCCCTTTGGTCCAGGTATCACCAAAGCTGCTGGGGTGTTGCTCCCAGGGGTACAGCAGTGGCAGGCCGTGGAGGGTGGGCATCTGGGGATGCTGGGGCTGTCCTGGGCCGGTCCTAACTCTAGCCTCCCTTCAGGGTGGGTGCTGCCTTTTGAATGTCTGAAGCTCACATTCTTAAAAGCTTCATCGAGGACTCTTAGAATCTGGGATAACAATAAAAATAACTAATCTTTATTGTGCCAGGCACTGTTCTGTGCGCATTCCATATATTATCTAATTTAATCTTTACCATTGTTTTTATTTTACATTTCCTTTTTCTTCTTACATACCCTATTTGACCAATGAGTAAACTGAAACAAAAAGAAGGTACTTGTCTCCAGTCCCACAGCAAGTGTGTGGCCGAGTGGGGATCGGATACCTGGTGTGCTGGCTCTAATATTATAAATATAAATACATATATATATATTTTTTTTTTTTTTTCTTCAGAGCCTGTTATATTGAAGCTCAGTGTAGAGTGTTCTGAAGGAGGTTCACAGCAGCCCTGCTGTGTAGCCTTTGAGCCCCTAGTGATGAGAGTCCATTCCCCAGAGGCCACCCATTCCATTTCTTCATGGCTCTGACTGAAGGAAAAGTGCTCCTTTAGCTTCCTCTTGTGGGTCCCTGTTTTGCCTTCTGGACCCACGTGGGAACACTCGGGGCCCGTCTGAGCTCTGCCATCCTGTCAGACAGACCACTACGTCCCAGGAAGTCAAATGCTGGCACCCTAGTCACCCCTGGGGTGGCATTCTGAGGGCCCCAGTCCTCACCCAGAAGACTGCCAATCCCTGGACTCCTTGGCCTTAGTTCCTTGGCTTGGACTTTCTAGAGCAGGGTCCCCATCCCTGGGCAGCTGCCGCAGACCCTCAGGACACAGTGGGCCGCCACTCCCTTCTCTCTCTCTCCTGAGCACTTCTGCCCCAGGCAATGTGCTAAAACTTTATGCGCATTTTCTCCTTGCTTCTCACAACAACCCCAGCAGATGGTAGGTACTATTATCATCCCTGTTTGATGGATGGGAAAATTTGACGTTCTGAGAGGTGAGCTGACTTGACCAAGAGCACACAGTTGGCAACTGCTGGAGCTGGGATTTGAACCCAAGGCTGTGCGGTTGCAGAGCTTCACACTTAACCTCCACGGGGCACCGCCTCCCTCACCGACTCACCCAGGGTGTCCCGGGGGTCTTAATGCCGCTTTAAGCTCCAGTAACTTCAGAAGTATAAATACTACAAACTTAACAAACACCCATTTGAAAGTTGAATCATTTAAATTTCTTCTACACTTCGTTAGCTTTGTGATTTTGCCAACGCATTTTTTAACTTTTGGTTTCAGTCAGCATTTTTTTTATCGTTGATCAGCAGAACAGAGACCAAAACTTAAAATTAAAAAAAAAAAAAATGTATCGTTCAAAAATCACAACACTCAATGTGCATTAAAAAATTACGTAATTAAAATTCCAAATGACATTTTGGGAAGTTTATAGGACTTGTGCTCCTGAAGTTATCCGAGCTTGAAACTGTACTCAGACTTGGGGGACATCCTCTTGCACATTCCTGGATGCTTGTATCCAAAGCCAGTGACTGAGGCCGAGGCCGGCTGCCAGGAGCTATCCCGGAGGTGCCCAGGGTAGGGGGTCCAGCGACAGGGGGGGCAAACGTGAGCATGGGGCATTTAACCCCTTTCTTGCCAGCAGCTTTGGCCAGTCCCCAAATCGGCTGCCTCCTGGGGGAGTGGCAAGGCTAAAAATGCTTCCTGGCTAAAAATAGCCAGGCCTGCCACCCTGGTGGGCAGAGCACTCCCCCCTCCCTCCCAGCAATTTGCTGCCTTGTTTTCTCCTTCCCCCGGCGCTGCCACGGCAACGGGGAGGCCGGTCACAAAGAACTCGGTCGGGCCCTCGGGCCCCAGAGGCCGGCCCTTGCAGACACATGCCCCTTTCACGGGCTCCCTCTCGGGGTTGGCCGGGAGGGATTTTTTTTTTTTTTTTTTTCCGCTCCCTGTGCTGGTCCCTCCCATTTCCTGGCTCCTCCTGTCTGAGTCCCAGCCCGGCCTGTGCCTGGGAGCCCCAGTCATCCGGCTGGGATCCCGGCGAACGAACACTTGGCTGCAGCCCGCGCCGCCCCGGGACGCAGGGAGGGGAAGAGGGAACCTGGGGGCTGCTCCCTGCAGACCGTCCCGGGCCCCAAGGTGGGGGGCCCTACAGAGATGCTCCGAGGCATGTACCTCACGCGCAACGGGAACCTACAGAGGCGGCACACGATGAAGGAGTAGGTGCCTCTGCCCCCCGGCGCGCACCCTTCCCACCCTGAGTGTGCAGGGGCCGAGCGCGCCAGGCTGACTGACCCCCTTCTCTGCTTCTGCCCCCAGAGCCAAGGACATGAAGAACAAGCTGGGCATCTTCAGGCGGAGGAACGAGTCCCCCGGGGCCCAACCAGCGGGCAAGGCAGACAAAATGGTGAAGTCATTCAAGTAGGTCCTCTCTGCACCCCGGGGCCCCTCGGGCGCTCGCTGGTCCCCAGGGGAGCAGGGCTGGCGGTGGGGTCAGATGGAAAGGGGTTTTTGGGCTTGATCCAGCTCTGAGTTGGACGGCGGCTGTCTTTGAGGGAGCCTGGTACCTGGCAAGCCCTCAAGGGGGACAGACTCTCTGGGAAGGCCGGCCGGGCAGGGGCAGAGGCGATGGGGCCCAAAGAGAGGGGCTGGGCTCCCCAGCTGGGCTCGGCCGCTGCCCAGGCCAAGGGCAGCTAACAGAGACCGCCCCCCCCCCCCACTTCCCCGAACCTCACGGTGCCTCACTCTGCCCCTTCCCTCGCCCCTCAGGCCCACCTCAGAGGAAGCCCTCAAGTGGGGCGAGTCCTTGGAGAAGCTGCTGCTTCACAAATGTAAGTGGGGGCCAGCTGGCCTGCTCCCCTCCCTGCGTGATCTCCCTCCCTTCCCGTTCCTGCTCGCCCAGGCCCAGAGCGTGTGTCTGCTCCCAGAGAGGTGGCCTTTCCCTCGTTCCTGGGTCCCGTCGGGTGTCCCTGCCGTTGGGAGAGGCCGAGGCCCTTGCGCTGGCCTTGGAGCTGGCTTCGGCCAGGCCCTCCCTGTCCGGGGCAGCCGGCAGTGCCTGCAAGAGGCCCGGGGCCTGTGTGCTCACACCCAGATTCCCAGAATAACAATAAACATTTCCACATACCGAGGGCTTCCACTGGGCCACATGTGCTCCGCATCTCGTGGGCAGGATCCCCTCCGATCCTCACAGGGCTCCAGGAGATAGACTCATGACCCCCATTTTACAGATGAGGGAACTGAGGCACAGACGGCAGAGACGTGGCCAAGGCCCACAGAGAGGCAGTGGCAGGGGTGGGTCCACATCCCAGGGGCTCCTGGCTCTTTGAAGTGGTTATCTTACTAAGCTCCCAACATCTGCACCCTCAAAGGCCCCTGGAGGGGAGGTTGGGGGGTCCAGAAGGCAGAAGGGGCTCGTTCTGCCTCTCACCCCGGGGCCTGGGCTTCTCGTCACAGATGGCTTAGCAGTGTTCCAGGCCTTCCTTCGCACCGAGTTTAGTGAGGAGAACCTGGAATTCTGGCTGGCATGTGAGGACTTCAAGAAGGTCAAGTCACAGTCCAAGATGGCGGCCAAGGCCAAGAAGATCTTCGCTGAGTACATTGCAATCCAGGCGTGCAAGGAGGTAAGGCCTCAGGCTGGGCCCTTGGGTGCCCCAGCCCCATCCCCATCCCCAGTGGCCTCTCAGTGATCACAGGTACCTGGCTGCCTCAGCAAGGAGCTCAGGAAGGGGAGAGGCCAGAGTGACTCTTGGGGACCATGTGTCCAGGGTGGAGAGGAAGCAAGCTGGGGCCCTGGGAGGAACAGAGTTCTGTCGGTACCAGAAATGGGCACTGTCGAGGCACTGCGTGCCGGGCATACACCAAGCCCTTTATGGATGCACTCTTTGATTTGATCCTCATGACAACCTGTAAAATGGGTTTAATATTATCATCATTTGAAAAATGAGGAGACAGTCTCAGAGAGCCTAGCTCGGAGTCGCTACCATCTAGTGAGTGCTTACTGAGGGCCAGGCACTGTATGCAGACTCGCAGTGGGTGATCTGTTGATTGACTCCATATCTCTTTACCATGGATGACCTTGTTTCGTCTTTGGCACTCTGAGGAGTGTACCATCCTTCCTTGCCTACAGATAAAACAAGGGGGCCTCAGAGCACTTAGGTGATCTGCTCAGGGTCACATGCCTAGCTACGGCACTGCTGGAATTCCAACCAGGCAGTCTGACCTCAGAGGTGGTATGTCCAGGCCCTATAAACTACCCGCCTTAGAGTGAGTGACCGAGCCAGGACTTGAATCGCTGCCCCGAGGGTCTCCACTCTGAGACTTAAGACATGGAACAGAGGGGCTTGGAGGTGAAGGGCTGGGGAGGTCCCATTCCTGGCCCCCCGTGCCCAGGGTCAGCCCCGTGCCAGTGGACCTGACCATACTGCCCTCTGCCCCCACAGGTCAACCTGGACTCCTACACACGGGAGCACACCAAGGACAACCTGCAGAGTGTCACCCGCGGCTGCTTCGATCTGGCGCAGAAGCGCATCTTCGGGCTCATGGAAAAGGACTCCTACCCACGCTTCCTCCGCTCTGACCTCTACCTGGACCTCATTAACCAGAAGAAGATGAGTCCCCCGCTTTAGGGGCTGACTGGGTAGAGCTCCGTGTTCACACCAGGCGGGCTGGGCCCCCTTCCCACCTGCCTCTCTCCCTCTGCGACGGAGGGGGCAAGCAAGCCCCCGGAGCCTGCGTCTCCGGACAGACAGACGGACATTCGGATGAGAGGCCTGGACCAAGGGAGGCCCAGGCCACTGGAGGAGTAGAAGGACTGGCCCCGTTGGGTCCACACTGCCCCGGTACGAGGGGGCCCGAGGGCCCTGGCAGGTCAGGGGCCCTGGCTGAGCCAGATCCGGAGCTGCTGTTCCGTGCTGCGTGGGCTCAGCATTGACCAAGTTCCTGAAAGAACTGGCTGATGGGGCAGGGGGCCTAGCTGTGGGCTCCAGGGCTCTCCAGGGGGGGCCGCTGGGACTCGCAGCTCAGACCCCGTGCCTTGAGTTTTATTTATTTAAACAGTAGTCGGATGCTTGGCACGTTGTCCTGTAATAGGAAATTTTTGCCTCATCGGTTTTCCTAATTTACAAGTGCAATATTTTAACCAACGCCTTGTGAAAAAGCCACCTCACCGAGAGGGTGGACACCACTTCCCAGTTTTAGGGGATTTGCTTGTCCCAGGCACCGTGGCAGGCAGCTGGGCCTTCCAGACTGATGAGGCCTGGAGGGGCAGGTGCTGCCGTGTGACCTTGCACAGGAATCCCGCACTCCCCAAGGGAGGTGTCCCTCAGGGGCTCTGGGAAAGCATGGCACCCTCAGACCACACAGCAGCCGAGTTCTGGAACAAATAAAAGGCCTGTGTTATTTCTTGTTCTTGCCCCTTTCTGTTTGTTTCTGGGTTTGAGCTTTCCCAAGGTGGACTGGGGCTGGGGCTGGGGGTCAATCCGGCGGCTTCTCCTCTCTTGCCATCACCCGCCTCCCATCCCAGAGCCACACACATGATCTTCCGGGCTCGTGGCTCCCTGACAGGCTGTTTCCCTGTGCTAGGCACTCTGCCATGCTCATTCCATGTAATTACCTCTCCCCTTCTCCACCAGCCTGGGAGATGGGGGGTTATGCCCGTTTCACAGATGAGGAGAGTGAAGCACAGACAGGGTGGGTGACTCGTCCAAGGTCATACGGCTGGCAAGTGGCAGAGACAGGGTTCTGCCTAAGCCCTGCTGGCTACCAAGTCTGTGCTCTGGATTGCTGTCCCCTGCTTGCCACAGGACAGAGTTCTAGCTTGGCCACCAGCTGGCTACATTCCTCTGCCCACCACACCCTGAGATTCCAGTGGAACTTTCAGGTGGCACAGGGCTGGTTGGTGGAGGTGGACAAGGCTAGCCTCTCAGGCTGCAGATGGGCCGGCCCGTGGACGCCGTTAGGACAGAGGTAAGAGCTGGGCAGGTGACAAGAAGTAGGGCTTACAGAGACCCCCTCTGTGTCCCAGAGGAAGGCTTCCCACTCCGTGCCTAACTGGAGACGCAAATTTAGGCAAGGCCTGGAGGCCCCAGACCACTTGCCTGGAGGAGGTAGAAGAGAGCCTGGAACCCAGGCCAAGCTGACGCCAGAGCTGGCCCCCACTGCCCCCACATACAGCCTGCCAGGGTCTGGGGGGCACTGCCCGGAGTGGGGCCTGGCCCAGCAGGGCTGACTTCCATGCAGCCGGAGGGAATTGGTGCAGGAGGGGCTGGGCCCCATCTCCCTGGATCTTGTTCCCTGCCTGGGGTCCTGGGTTCAGGTCTGCCCACCTTGACTTGGAAACACAAAGGACATGGGGCTTTGTAGCCACTCTCCTCTGTGCCTCCCCTTGCTGTTTGCCCTGGAGGCCTAACCTAGGGCCAGGCATACAGTAGGTGCTCAGTACATGTTCCAGCCTTTTTTTCTAGCACTGGGAGTATGAGCTCTTCCAGGAGTGGAGCTGGGTCTGGCACTGGACCCGGCCTGAGCCTTGTTGGGCCTTGTAATCAGTGAAGGACTTGCCTGCCCCGGAGACCCCAGAGCCTCAATGAGGCTGGAAGGACAGCGAGGGGCAGAGATGTGCCCCTAAACAGAGCAAGGCCACCTCACAGGTGTCATCCAGGCCTGAGATTTGGGGACCTGACAGCTTGGGAAAACAGGCCCGGAGGGGACCACAGTACCACTGCTGTTCCTTCCAAAATGGCTAGTGGCCGAGCTGACAGTGGAGCTCAGGACTTGAGTCCCAGCCCAGCCCGGCCTCTCTGTGGTGTCTTCCCCTTGGAGGAGACACTGTGGGCCTGAAGAGACTCACCTTCCCCTTTCTTCAGGGTCCAGGGATTTAGCTTAGGGCCAAGCCCTCCACCTTCCCACCCCCAAGTTGCCATGGAAACAGAAGTCCCGTAGAGCAAAGTCAGACAGATGGAATTCCCATTTCCGAAGGCCCCGCTGCCTGGTTTCCATTACTCACACGGGGTCTCTTGCTTGGCCCAGAGCAGCTGTGGTTGTGCTGAGCATCCAGAGAGCGGGCTGGAGAGGTGCCTGGGTCCTCCTGCCCTGGGCCCTGCCTGGGCTCCCTGGGGACCATCACCTTTACAGTGTA